CTCATTATACGTTGTGCGTCCCTGCCTGCCCGTTGTACCGAACTCGTAAGTTGCTACCTATTTTCGATTATAACTCAAAAACTAAGCTTCGGACAAAATTTTGTAAAAGGAAAAATTGTCTCAGAATTCGCTCAAGAATATGGCATTGCAAGAACATCAGGTTATTTTGAATCACCCTGTATGCATGTGTATAATTTTATGTACTATATTAATTCTCTTTATTATTTTTAGTATATTTGCACAAAATATATCATTGGCATGTCCTTACCCGAAATTATTATATTTCTAAAAGAATCGTAACTGAAATGCATTTTTTTCACTAACAGGTTAATGACGAGTTTGAATGGTTTATGAAACATACAGCGATCACAAAAGGATAGATTTTGTATTATTTATAATATCGCCGTTCGTTAATTTCTTGTTAGACAAAGAATTTAACGTTCTTTAGTGGGAACAGAATCTTGTGCAATCTTTTGAGGTGGAGGATGGTGGGCAATGTTCTAAATAAAAATTCAAACTGTGGTTTAAAAGTTATTTAGTTATAAGAATAATAAAGTTGCTGTTATTTACATGAGGTATATTTTAAATGTAAAGAATTAAATAAAAATGTTATAAAAATTAAAAAGAAATAATTTGACTAATTCTTTATGTTGAATTGATTAAGAAGTTTCTCCAATAAAAATAAATGCAAAAATTAAATGCAGAATCCTCAAGTCACATAAAAAATGGCGTCCATTTGATTGACAAATTAAGCCCCATGAGTCTGAGTTAAGACTTTGACCTTGTCTCTTTCAATGTGGTATCCTTGTTCACCAATGTTCCTTTGAATAGGGCTGCATTAAGTATTGTTAAGAGATGGGATTATATTTCAAAAAACACCTCCTTCTCTCGAAGAAGAATTTCGAGATTATTCTTGGGATTAATTTCATTCTGGGATCCACATATTTTAAGTTCAATAAGACCATTTACAAGCAAACTTTTGGTAGTTTTATGGGGTCTCCCCTTTCCCCTATCATAGAGGACATTACTCTTAGAGACATAGAGGAGAAAGCGATTCGTAATTTATTGTTCAACCCACTGTTCCATTTTAGATATGTGGATGATATTATATTGGCAGCACCAAAGGATTCCACAGATCTGTTATTGGAAGTTTTCAATGCTATCCATGACAAAATTCAATTCACTATTGAAATTGGTGAGAGGAGTGGTAATCAACTTTTGGGATGTAAAAGTGATTTTGAAAGAAGGAAAGTTCTTTTTCGATTGATATATAAGCCTTTCTTCTCTATGAGATATTTAAATTTTTATTCTCAACATTCTTTTGCCCATAAAAAAGGCATTTTAACGGGTCTTGTGGACAGGGCTTTTTTATTTTGTCCCACCCACTATTTCATAAAAAAAATTTTATCACTATTATTGAGATCTTGTTAATTAATAAATACCCTCTTCTCATCATTTTCAATAACATACGAGAAAGACTAAAATATCATTTTCAGTTATTTATTAATAAAAATAATAAAGGGAACAAGGTGCTGAATAATAAAGAAAGTTCAGGGACAGACAAACCATTCCGTTTTGTGAGGTCGATTTCGGAAAAGTTTAGGTTTGTTACAAAAATAATTTTAAATTGGCCTTCACGCGAAGTAAGGATCTCAAATATATCATCAAGACGCATAAAGATGGTCTTGACAAATTTTCCCATGCAGGGGTGGTATATAAAATTTCATGCAATGATTATGATGCCGCTTACATCGAGCAAACTAAGAGACAATTAAGTACAAGGATTCTAGAACATAAAAATTACATTAAAAAATCTTCTTCTCCATCCGTCATATCTGGCCATCGCTTGGACCACAATCATCAAATAGATTGGGAGGGTGTTGAGATCATAGATGAGGAAAGTTTTTACCGAAAAAGGTTGACGTCTGAAATGGTTCATATCAAGAGACAAAAGCATGGTCTCAATAAACAGAGTGACATTGATTTTATGTCTTATACTCCTATTTTCAACTTATTACCTCCTCTCTAATTATCTCTCGGCCAACTGACGTGTTTCAAATATTGGTTATTCCTTTGGCTTCCCTTTCTCTTCCTTCTTTTCGACCTTCTCTAACTAAAACCACTTGCAATTGATCACAGTAGTTGTGAGTGACAACATCTACTTGAATTTTGTATTATGTATATTTTGTATTATGTATTATGTAATAGTATATTACAACCTTCCAAGTGAGCTCAGACGTTATAATAATTTTTACATTCATTTGACTAATGGTTAGGTAATGGTTGCATTTTTAGACTTTTTTATTGGAACTTATCAAATTATGTATAATGAATGACTGCATTATCGATGTTACTTTGTAAAAATTTTATTCTGATATTTATTAAAGTATGTCGCCATCCCAAGTAGAAATTTCCCTCGATTTTCCCTGAATACATATATGTATACGGGCCCCGCATGGAAAATATTGGCTTGGAAAATCCAGACGGGTCTTGGCTTTTCGTCATTATAAAACTAAAACAAGCTTGATTTTTACCATAGTATTGCATATCATGCATAATTTATATTAGAATTCACTTATAAAATGCGTCGTTAAGAAATTTGCAAAACATTTTATAATACTTTACATAAATTAATAAACATAACATAATTGCAAAAGTGCATCCGCGGCATTCAGTGACGCATATCCTTCATTTCTTTCTTATTTCCGCACATCTGATTACATATAAATTATATAACAATTATATGCATCTACAATGTTGCCACAATTTATATATTTTATGCCCTAATAAATGCAATTTGCAGCAGTTATACAGAAAGAATAATTAACGTAACAATTGTTATATGTAAGTAAATAAAAAAAGGCATTATCCAAATATAATACTTTAATTCATTACGTGAGAAATTATAGATAGCATATACGTTATATGTAACATTTTGTAATAATTTCATATAGCACAGCAATAGTTTTTGTGTAAATTAAAAACTTGTTTTTTTTACTTTTACTTATATATATGCCACAAATACAAACAATATTGCTTATTAATATGTATATAGTAATTTTTCTGGTGCATGCACTATTAGCTAATCATTGGTGTAGGTACTTTTACTCGATAAATGTGTGATATGCACTATACCACAGCAATATAACTTGTAATTATGGTACTGTTGTTAACTATATTACATGTGTATCAGTTGTAAAAAATTCCAAAGATGGTAATAGATTCAAAATTTGTCAGTGCATTTAAAAAAAAACAATAAAAACTCAGCTGGTTGAAGTTTGGAACGTTTCTGCAGCGATTTTTTAAAAATGATTTGTCGCTCTTCTCCTTTTCCAGAATTTTTTAAATAATTTGGGGTGGTTCTTCGAGTGTAATAGTGTCTTCCGATGCATGTATCGGATCGGTCTCATTTGTATGTCGTGTGAGGACATCGGAACTTTCTCTGTGCTGAAGAAGAAAAGCGACAAATCATTTTTAAAAAATTGCTCCAGGAACGTTTCAAACTTCAACTAGCTATATAATAAGCCCTCAATTCTGACTTTGATTCACAATATCAGAGTGTGTTTAGACAATTTAGCTCGACCAAAAATGTTTTGATTGTTGTCATTAAGTTAACAATTTATAATCGAGATTTCTTTTTACAATGTGTGAGACTGGATATAATTACAAAATATAAATGCTTTGATTAAATTCATGGCCTACAATTAATTTTATATTTTACAATGTTAAAACGCTGAATAGAAGTGGAACAAAATAAAAATGTTTTATTTTTATTAGTCATATTAATGTTATAACTTAGGTACTTATATGTTTATGTGTGTATGAGTGAATAAGCGCGCGCGCGTGTGTGTGTGTGTGATTGCATTTCGAAGGATAAACGGGATAAATATTTTTTGGATGCTGTCGTGAAGACTGCGTATATAAATTTATATTTACACAATATTAAACATGTTGAAGGCTAACATTCACTAATGATGTAAAATTTACAAATGATATTTATTTCCACCTACTCAAGACCACGTAAGACTGCGCTCTGTTCATCAAGTGCGTTCTTATAACTTCAAGTAAGCAATATTTCGGAGTTAAAAATAGAATTAAACGAAGATAATTTCCAAAACGTTCTTTGTCATCGAATTAGTAGAAAAAATCATATTAGGCTGCTTGTTATAAATTAATTGTTTCGAAAAAACATTACGATATTTTCTAGACGAAACCTAGATGTGCTTTTAATATCAAAAAATAAATAATAACTAAAGAAATTGTAAGTTCGGCATATCGGCGATTGCCAATAGTGAAAACAACTTAAAATATAATATCAATATAATATAATAGAAACAACGCTTATAATATTATATCATTATGATAGAAACAACTTTTAATTCATGTATGACAACTCTGCTTTTAAATTGTTCATATAAACAATTAAACGTAAATAGTAATATTACTTTTTTTATTATATCTATTTAAAACTTTTTGGCGTAAGCATACAAAACATTCAACAAAATATTTTATTTTATATTATTTTATTTTTAACAAAAACTATTTTCTTGCAAGTTATATTACACTTTTTCAGACATTTTGTACTTCAGAGCCGATTCTTTTCTAAAAGTCGACTATAAGTCACTTATAGTTGCAAAGCAATTTTATATAATTTTTTAAATAAAAATCAAAGGAGACAAATATTTGCTCCAACAAAAATTTGCAGTATAAGAAGAAATAATTAAATTAAATTAATGTTATTTAAACCGACGAAAACCGATGAGTCCATAGTTTATGATTTTTCTTACGTACTCGAATCTTCGTTTTTTATATTTTTGGTAAACAGCATCAACTAATCGCTCTTCTCTCAAATTAACTTTCGCGAATTCACGTACCTAAAACAAATTATTTCGACAATATTAATAAACCTAAAACTTTTTCGCACTACAGTTTATGAGAGCATAAATTGCTGTGTTAAAGGTAATCGGTTTAAATATGTCATGTACATGAGAAATCAAATAAAAATAAACTCAATATTTAAGTGGTCAAAAAATGATAGTGTCATTTAAATTAGAAAAATATACCTTATTCAATTGCTCTACAGCATGTTGGTGCGTAATAATAACAATTAATATTGCAACTATGTCGGCTTGTCTGCGAAAAAGTAAAGTGATAAATATTATTATTTAAAAAGGTAATAAGAATGGAAGAGACGCGGATGGATAAAAATTATAAACATAAGAAATATTTATATATATATAAATATAGAGATATAATTATAAAAAAATTATTACGTGTTGGAGGTGAACATAAATGTATTATTGTTGAGATTTTGCAATATAAAATCGCAAACTATATTGTTTCTTGCATGCCTCGCAACGGTGAGAAGAAATATGTGAGCACGTGTATTGCGTTTTAATAAAATATTATCAATGAAATTCAGCCGCAAATAATTAGATATGACTCCAGGATCTTCACTGCAAGTTAAATATTCCAAAAATTTTATATCATCAGGTGTTGCTGTCCATTTGTTATATACGTCATACCAAATAGTGCTGTTGGCTGACACCAAACCATTACAATACATCCATCTTTTCCATTCTGATTGCGTTACAAAACTGCGTTACCAAAGAAAAGTATTTCTTACAAAAATTTAGCTTTTTTTATGATAAAATAATATATCTAGTATTTGATGTACATAATGTGAGTATGCGAAATGCAACAGAAATTGTTTATATAAATATGGTGGTTGTAAAACACTTGCGTGCGATTTTCACGTAGATCTCTTATCATTTGCTCATTGGCTACTTCTCTGCATTTTTTGTTACCAATAATACATGTCCATTTTACTGTTTCCTCTCTTAAACGTTCTGTAAAAATGCTTTCTTGTCGTTGTGCAACGTATCCTATTTTATACAAAACTCCATTCAATATTTCTTCCATTTTTTTCTGAAAATTGATAATATATATTTTAACCTATTGTAATTTATAAAAGATATGTATGTATATTTATACATATATAAATTTACTTTAACTTTCTTTATATACAAAGCGATTCAAAACAACCTAATGTTTTTGAAATATCGTATCCTTGAGCAATTTCTAAAACAATTTTTCCTCTTGCAAAATTTTGTCCGAAACTTAATTTTTGAGTTATAATTTAATTATATTTCGCTACTTACACTCACTGTGACTGTAAAGTATTACATTACTTTTACGATGTGTTGCACAATCCCTGCCTGCTCGCTGTATCGGACTTACGTGTGAACGAGTGGCAAACTGTTTTCAATTATATTTCAAAAACAAACTTTCGAACAAAATTTTGTTAAAAAAAAATTACTTTAAAAGTCGCTGAAAAATACATTTCAAGGATATCAGATTGTATTGAATCATCTTGTACATATAATATTTCGATGCAATTTTTCTTATAGAAACTTGCTGTTACCTACCATTACGTCGTTAGCATCTTTAATTGAAACTATAAAAGTTACATATTCAAAAGCTTTAAGCATAGGATACCATACTATATAATTCGTTTCTTGTGACAAAAATGCAGAGATTTTCCAAAACGTAACATAATCAAGTTGTGTATGTATAAAGAAGTGAAACGCATCATCTATGATTTGAGCTCGATTGAGAACATGTATGTCGATAAATGTCGTAGAATTCATGTATTCCGCAAGTTTCTCCCAATTTGCAGAATTATAATTAACACGATAATACCCTATTATAAAAAAGAAAGCTTTCATTATTAAGTCTCTTGATAGAATTTATCAAAATTTTAATTTTAGTTTTTAAATAATTTTTATTGTTTTTTGTGAAACATTTCATCAAATTATATAAATTTTTAATAAAATTTTTAAACAATTTGTTTGAAAAAAGTGTAGGAGCAATTAGCGTGTGAGAATGTGCTTGCGAGTATGAATGACACGCACGCTTTCGAGTATGTGAGTGCGTGTGTCACAAGCACTAGGATGCGTAAAATTAAGAAAGTAAACCAGATACCAAAATAAAACATAATAAATATAATGTTTTATATTTACCTGTTTGTTGTAAATTTACTAGAATCCAATCATTTTCATCAAACTTGTGCTTTAACGTTACCGGTTTGTCCGGTGATAGCCAAAAGGATTTATTGGTAAAAATATCGTGAAAGTTCATGATTGACTTTGTCGTATATGTTACGAATGTTGGAGGAAATTCTGTTTTCTTATCAATAAAATCAGAAGTGAGATATTCGAATCTTGTCATATGAGTGATGTTATTTCGTGTCACGTACAGTACTGGGTAATAATATATTTTCATTGTCCAAACAGATATAAGTATTCTTACAATAAGTACGCTTGAGTTATGTGGAATCGTTTGTAAAATAGTAAGCATAGTGTTCCAAAAATCATTTGTTTTATTATATCTGTAAAATGGAAAATTTTTATAAAAGCGTACATTATTTTTAGCAAAAATTTTTAACTTATAAGTATATTAATAAACTTTGACTATAATATAAAGAATAAAACGTTCTCCACATATACTTATGTATTTGTATATGTTGGATATTAATTTTCAAAATACTATCAAAGTTAATTGAATCAAACTTCAAAAATCAATTTTAGTACATAAATAAGAATAGTATTTTGGAAGATAGATAGATAGATAGATAGAGAGAGAGTGAGAGAAGGGTGGGGGTGGGAGAGAGGGAGGAAGGGTGAGCGAGACGGGGTGGTGGAGAGATGGGGGAGGAGTGAATAGGATAGTAGAATGGTTTGTACATTCCCTGCTTATTCATATTCTAATTCAGTTTATATTAAATTCTTTAAGTTTGAAATCATTGTTTTTATGACCATTTTGGAAAATTATTTAATCTAAGTAATAATAATTATCTTTTTTGATAATAACAAGTTATTGTACATGCTATTAGCTTTTGTAAAGTATTATATTTTTACTTTTACTTTTATAGCTTTTCTCACGGTACGATTTCAATGATTTTATTAAGGTGCACCAAAAACTTACATGTTCAACGGTGAGCGACTTATCAATATGTAAATTAATTTAAATTGACATACATAAATTCCACTTTAAAAACAAGAAATTGAATTATATCTATCTAGTTTTCTACAAATGCTGCACACCAAAAGAAAATGACATTATTGTATTATTAATATAATTATAACATAAATTTTATATTTTGAGTTTTTAAGTAATTGTAAAAGATAATTTCGAAAAACAAAATGGTATGTCGGTTTTGGTGATTTTCTTAAAAAAATCAATATTATGCTGTTTACAGTTTTGTAGATTTAAGATAACTCGTTAAATTTTAAGCAGTATATAATTATCCTTTTAAATTTTAGAATTTTAGGTACATCATTCTTCTTCAATGTTCAATTTATGTAACTTTCTAGATAAAGATATAAAATGATATTACTTACTGTTTGTTAGTAACATATGTGCGGATATCAGTCCAAAACACATCAGCAGTTAACAAATGGCATAACATGCGCCATATATTGGATGCTGAAATAATTAAAATATAATGTATTTGTTAAGTACTTTGAAATATATAGTCTTAAAAAATTAAGATATATTTTTTTTATAATAAAGTTTATATACCAACACATTGTATTTTAAATTGTGTGCAGTTCAGAGAGAATTTATCTATATTCTTTTATAAAATATAAAAATGTACGTATTATTCAACAGTATTATTTAATTATATTTACTATAACCATTTGTAGGCTTTTAGATATATTTTCTTAACTTACGTTTTGTATGATTTAAAAGATAGCTAAGTGAACTCATTTCATTTGCATTAGAAGGAGTATCAAAGAGAAAAGAATCCCGTTGTGTTTCCACGATAAATAAATTCATTATATCATTCGGAAGAATCTGGAAAGTTTAAAATAATGAAATAAATATTTAGTCAAAATATTATATTTAAAACAATACACCAACGCTGATTGTTGCAAATAAATTTTGTTTTTTATTATAAAATATATTGTTTATAAAATAGTTATTAACAATAGAAAATCAATGGATACAATCTAATTTTCTGATACCATGTATATTGAATGGTATAACTTTTGCTGATTTATTTATTTAAACGTGGTAAATTAAGTGTACGGGTTTTAATCGTCATTCTATGTTTAAAAGCTTTGAACAATTTAAAAAATAATGAACAATTAAAATTGGCACTTTAAATAAATGTTCCTCTTATTTTTTCTGCCCAGGAGTTTTGAAGAAAGGTCATTATACTGTCGTCATATAACAAATGTTTTTTTTTTTATTTTTGTTATAAAAGTAATATAAAATACGCTATTTCTGTTACAATTTATAGCGTCACACACACACACACACACACACACACACACAATGATACGTTCTATTCGATAAACTTGTTCTGTTAATAACTTTTTTATAAACAATGAGCAACGACTAAAACTTTTTTTTCTGTTACTCAGAACAATTGGTGGCATATGTCAGAGTTAAGACGATTGGATCTAATTGTTAAAATATAAATATTTACTAAATGTAGTATATTAATAATAAGAATTTATAACAACCTGATTAAATATATGTGTTGCAAGCAATGTAAGAAAATTTGTTTTTGACCACAGCAACACATCATCGTACCAAAGAGAAATTATTTGATATGTTATAAAACTTGCTACTTTCAATTTATGCCCAACGGAATCTGAGTCTTCGTCATAAATAATATCAACTTCTCTGAAAAATGTTTTCAAATATGAAAAATTTATCGTCAATGTTTGTTGTAATTAAACAATTTAATAATATATGTCTTTAATATAATGAGTCTTTGTATTGTAGATATAACAAATTCAAGCTACGAATGAATTTTTTGTAACTGTTTCTTGCTAAAAATGTATTTGAAACTTTTTGAGCTTAATCTCATAAAAAACAGAAATAAAATGACTATTAAAAATTTTGTGTCGTTATGTAATTTTTTTTAACAATGTAATTTATATCCCTTAAGAAGCAACGTAGCCTTAACTGCTTACTTACACAATCACATACAGATTTTATTTCAAAACGATAAAAAAGAGAAATTTTTCATATATAAATAATTTCACGAATAGAAAAAAACAGAAGACAAGAACTCTGATGAGTTCCGATAAAATAATTGATATAATAAATGATGCAATCAATTTATTTGTGCAACTTAAAGAGCACAGTTATTTTGCTTCTGAAATTGCAGCTAAATTAAAATCTGATTTGACACAAAAAATGATTATTTCAAATTTTGATTTAAATTAAAGATAATGATATCTTTTTAATATGGCGCAAGTAAAAATCTTTAGATTTTAGTTATTTCTTAATTTATACATTGTGACATAAAAATATGTATATCTTTCAGTTTTAAAAATATATTACTCTATAGTTTTACATTTTTTATTTAATAATCATTTTTGATCAATTTATTTTAGTTTTTAATATTACCTTTGTGAAATCAATCCCCATGTCATACTGTTATTATGATAATTATCCCAGAATGCAACATAGTCTATTTTTGGTAATTTGTCCATACTATTTTCATATTTAAAAAATTGTAGGATTTGTTGGGCAATACATTCCGCTAATTTTAAATGGTTTGTTATGTTTTTTCTACCCCAAAATGTGACATTTGCCGAAGTAGAAATGTTAGTGAATGTGGTTATTACAACCTTTAAATGTTGAATAAAAATTGTAGGTGATTTCTCAAAATGTGTCCACATCATGTCACGTTTGTCATCATTTTCTGTTGTTTGTATAGGCATATTTGATAAGGCTGTGTAATTTTTATGATGCTTGATGGAAATTTTGAAGGTGGAATTAAGTATCTCGTCCCAACATGGGAATAATTGCCGAGCAGTCATTATATCAACACCTGTCGCTATTAACCTATCATATTTTAATAAAATAGTAAATACAAAATTTTAAATACAATTATACACAAAGATCGACTAAGGATAAACTAAAAAATATTGCATTTAAAAAAAACTGAATCACAGTTTATAACACCGTACAGAATGTTTTGAATGTATTAATTTGACACATATTTCGACATCTTAAAATTGACAAAGTTGAAATACAGTGTTGAATTTATTTGAGTATTATTATGACTATTTTATATATTACGCAATGGGATGTCATCTGGTTTATGAATGTACTTAAAAAATATTTTTTGAAAAGAATATTAGCGAATATTCTTTATATTATAATTTTGTTTGATCTTTTTTAACTTACATGTTGTCCATTTTTTTGTTGGAGAATAAAGATGTAATAGGGAATTCTTTGTTATAATTTACGTTTCGCATATACGATATCACTAAAGTGTATCTTCCAGGTGGTAAATATTTTTCCAGTTTTGGCATGTTGGTAAAATCAATCATAAACATATTTTGTTTATTAATAAATGAAAATCTTGGAACATAAATTTTTTCACTAAAAAGGTTGTCATACAAAACAATTTTAAATATAGCGAATGTCATTGGATGCATAAATATATTTTCTATTTGACGATTACTATATATTGTTATATTACATGCACCAACAATGTCATTTGTTTTGTAATTAAATCTTATTTTAGCATCATAATGCAATGGTATTATATAATCCGGTAAATGGTAACGAACTGTAGTGTCATTTTCGATAGCAGTGCAAAGTGCTATTGTAGCAATTAACATTATTAAACCATTTGTTAAAAGCTTTCGTAATATCATATTTAGTTTTTTTTATATAACAAAAAATTTCTGAAAAAAATAGTCGTTGGCAATGAAACATATACATTTGCAACATATAGTTTTTAATTTTTATATATAGTTTGCAACATATAGTTTTTAATTTTTATATAACAGGAAAAGATATAATAACGGTTACAGTAACTTACAGAAAAAAGATATAGAAAAAATCACGATATAATGATTGTGAGAAAAAAGTGTGCGATGTTTAAAATTATAATAGCATGGTACTATAATTTTAATTATGATACTCAGTTTCATAGGAGTTGTTAATATAATGTTAGCAATAATAATTTTACACGTACAGTATTGCCAAACATCTAACCAATCATATAGTTAGAATATTTAGAAAATATTGTTGACGACAAAAAACATTATTGTTTATGGTTACCGTTATTATTTTTTTCTTTCAGTGTAGGAGATAATAAAAAAAACATGAGAAAAGTAATATTCATAAAATATGTCTGATAGTGTTTATAGAAAGATAGCAATATTGTAATATGACTAATTTCATAGACTGTTATCAAGAACATATTAAATATTTAAAAATGCCTTTTGCAATACAAAAATTAAAAAAAAAACGAAATTATAACTGAAAGTGCTAGTATAATCTGAAAAACATTAAAATATTGAAATATTATATTTCTGATCAGTTATGATATTCTCAAATATAGGCAAACAAGCTGCGTGCTCGTACGCACACAGTTAATTTTCACATTACAGAAATGATATTTTTGATTATTACGTATGAAGAGACTCGTGTTGTACAAAGTAAAAAATGTAAAAGTAAAAAGAAATTATTGATACTGTTACTTATTTAGAAAGAGATTTGAAAAAATAAAGTTGTATTTATAAAGCTTTATAAAGTTTTTTATATTTTGAATTAAAAATATCTCTTTTCTAGTCACTTACCTAGATATATTAAAATCATCAATTTAAATGCGATGATACGTGAAAATGAACAATTTTGTAATAATAATACAATTAACATCACTTTACAAACACAATCCGAATGTTAAAAGTATATGAATCAAACTGCGATGTTATTTGTACCGAGAAGTCTCCGTGTACTAAGCATATTCGTAACTGACATAATATATATATTATGTCTCACAAACAGTTGCTGGGAGGTCGCTTGACAGGAAAACACACTACTAGTTTACAGAAGAGCGCAGAAATTAAAATACATAATCAATTAAATATGCGTATAAAAATCAAACTTGTATAGTTTTTAGTTACTGACAAATCAAATTGTTAAAATATGTATAATGCTTATAAATTTATAAAAAATATAATTTGTGTAAGTATACAGGCTCGTAATAATCGAAATTGTAAAAAGAATCGGGGATTTGGAGCCGAAGCCGGTTGTTTGTTGCTTTTATATCTTCTTTCATATTAAAATGTTGTAAGTTTCGCTCAATTCTTTGATCATCCTCAATAGATTGGTCGTTGTTCGGATATGAGATTACGTAATGTTAATGCTAAAATTTTTTAAATATGATATTACGGTTCAATCGGAATAATTATCTACCTTGTATAATATATAAATCTCTAAATTGTCTAAACATACCTTCATATCGTGAGATCCACCGTTATCATAAAATTCTACACACTTGTTGGCAGCTAATACCATAGCCCAATTCTGATTCTGACTTCATAAGCTCAAAGGTGTGTTAGACAATTTACAGATTTTACAATTTGGATAGTTTTCCCGAATGAATTGTAAGAATTAGTTTTATACTTTTAATTTTAGTACATACAACAATCGATATAATAAACACTGGGGTCAATTGGGACTTTGACTCACAACATCAGGGTGTGCTTAAACAATTTAGCCCCACCAAAAATGTTTTGATTGTTGTCATTAAGTTAACAATTCATAATCGAGTTTTTTTTTACTATGTGTAAGGCTGAATTACAAAATATAAATGCTTTGATTAAGTTCATGACATACAATTAATTTTTTGTTTTACTGTGTGTTTTAATGTGAAAACGCTGAATAGAAGTGGAACAAAACAAAAATGTTTTATTTTTATTAGTAATATTAATGTTATAATTTAGGTACTTATATGTTGATGTGTGGATGAGTATGTGTGTGCGCGCGTGTGTAAATCCATTTCGAAGGACGAACAAGATAGATATCTTTTGAATTCTGTCGTGAAGACTGCGTGAGGTGCGAGCAATGCTAAAGAAGTTTTAAACGGCCGCATATTGCAATAATTTTTAATTGTTTCCGTGTATTCGCAAAAATTTAAATCGCGACATTAGACATTATTGGCGCATAATTCTGTAAGATTTTTAACTGTAGGGGGAACAGAGAATAATTTAATCCAATCTGAAGGGGTCGAATGAGGCTCATTCAAATTAAAATCGAAATGACGAGAAGGATAAGTTAATTAATTATGTGGAGAGGGAAGAAGAGGAACCGCACTATTTCCGAGATCTATTTAAATTTATTGTTTCTAAAACTTACTACTTTTGCAAATACTTTTAACAAAATCCATACTACACCTTTATCTCTCTCATTACAGTTAACAAAATTACATCGACAAAATTACATTGAAATCACTCTCTCTACCTCGATGAGATAAAATTATTTCTTACAAGTATCCATCGTTGTTTTCTACAGAATGCCGAACGTATCCGTGTTATATCCTAGTGCTTATACATAATCTTTGTTTTTATGTAAGTCGGGACGCGTCGAGGATGTTCATCGGTTAAATCGCGTATTTTGAAAGATTTATTTCATTGAAATTGATTGCGCGGGCAGCAATGTTCATGTAAAGCGATATTTTGTATTTTGTAACATTTGTATATTTTACGTGAGTGTTTATCTTTAAATTTTACTCGTACATTTACTCATTTGTGCCACAATACGAAATGGAAAAGCGCTCAAAGAGCTTTAAAACGTGGAATTTGAATGAAGTAAAATTAATTTTTATTTTAGATTACGCTGACGAGTCTACAGATAAAAATTTTAAAAATACGGCCCGATGCAAAATACGATAGAAGGCAAAAAATAAAATAGTAAATTACTTATCAAAATAAAAATTTTGAATGCGAAAAGAATATTTTGTAATGTGCACAATATTATATATTATATTAGGAATTTTGTCGACTCTCGACATGGGGAGGTTTGGTGGGGGTTGTTTACATACGCTCCGTAGCCTACGTGCTCTATGTCCTCTCTCTCTCACTTCCACGCTTTCTCTCTCGCACGCGTTATCGGCACGCGCATTCTTTTCCCCTACTCCTAAGTCACACTTGGATCCTTCGACACGACTTCACATGAATGAATCCTTGCCCTTGGTCAGTTACTATTCGCACAGCGGCACTTGAGCGAGGCGGACCGTTCGCGTATCGGCGCGTTATCTCTTCTTACCTCCCCCCTTCAAATATCAACATCATTATTACTCCTCACAGCTTTTCACCCTTCTCCCCTTTTTATCGTTACCTGTTGAGTACATGGCAGCGTGTCGAATGCGAATTTCGTGCGATGAGCGATATTCGAGTTTAACTTTTGTCCTAACTTGACAAAATACGCGTCGGGAGTGTCGGCTAAAATATCGTATGATTATTATAATATCGTTCGGCCGTAATTTCGCAGTAATATATAACGCGGAGTGCCGTGCAATTTTCGTATTCGCGTCGCGATCACGTGTGAATACTTTGAAGATCACCGATTATGAGAGGAGGAGGAGGCTCAGGAGGAGCATCGGGCGCCAGCGGATCAACGTTTAGGTAATTATTCATTTATTTGTTATTCGCAAAATATTGCATATAAAATATTATATAATGTAGCGCATATAAAATATTTAAAATACTTTAAATATTTAGTAAAATATTGTTGAGATAGAGGTTTTTATTAAGAGAATAATACAGTCTAGAATACACGTGGTTCGGAAAAGAAAGAATG